CCTCCCGTTGCCCCTGGGAAGTCCTCAGTCCATAACCTTGGTGGAGCTGAGGACAGAACTCCCAAGGCGCCAGAGAAGGGTGGCCAAGGCACATTCCCAGGCTCCAGCCCAAAAGGCTACCTCTGGGAGCTCTTCCCCTTAAGCTTTGGGAAGGGAAATTTGGGTTCAGTTCATCTTTGAGTATCTTATTTGTATACTGATGTGGCTGAGGAGAGCTGGGGCCAGCCTTCATGGTATGATTACTCCTGTCAGTTCATCCTGTAAAAGTCTGGAGTTCTCCCATTAGAGTTTTATATATAAGATTTTAAAGGTTCTCCTGGAATCATAGAGTCTCAGGATTGGAAGAAACTGTGGTGTTCATCTAATCTGTCTCATAATGAAGGAATATTATCTACAACATCTTTGTCAGGCAATTCTCTAGTTTCTACATGAAGATGCCCACTTCCCAAAACAGCCACTTGCACTGTTTTTACTGTAGAAAGTTCTTCCAATAAGTGAAAGTCTACTCTTCTGGAATTTCTGCCCATTGGCCCTGGTTCTGCCCTTGTGCTCTGTGGTCCTCCATAGAGGAGAAACATATGGACAAATGGTCTTGTCCAATGTCCACAGTAATTCACTGGCAGTCACAGCAGTGCAGCCTTGGAAAGGAGCTGGCAAGAGTCAGTCTAGTGGCTCCACAAAGTATATGAATTTTGCTGTTTTTCATCTGAATATCTCTCTCAGGCATCGAGGTCATGACACTGATGGCTTGTCAGGGAGCCCAGGGGAGGTTTGTAACATTACAACAGAATAAAGTTCTCCGAAGCCCTGAAATGGGAGCACACTGCAGGAGGGATTCCATCATGGGAGTGAGACCTAGGAAACAATGGAACTTCCGAGGAAAAGGCCTCTTAATGTTACCATCCCAGCATCTGTTGTATTTTATTTAGCACCTACTGGGGCCAGGTGCTTATAAATATCTAGATAGATAGATAGATAATCAATCTCACTTTATATCACAAAAACCTTTTGAAGAAAGGCAGGTGCAGAGGAGCAGAATAACTTTCCCAAGGTCACAAAGTTAGTAATTGGCAGGTTTAGATTAACCCAAGGTCTTCCTAACTGAAAAGCCTAATTCCTCAGTCACTCTGCTACTCAATTTTAAAATAGACCTAAATGTCTGTGTGTGTGTGTGTGTGTGTGTGTGTGTGTGTTGGGGCTGGGATTAATACCTAGCCCCATCTGAGCAAGAAGTCAGGAACCCAGGTAAAAAGCAACTCTGGTATCCTGTGCTCCCATTTCCAAACACCATATCCTGGTCCCAGACTTCTCATCCAGTTGGCAGCCAGGTTAAGAGAAGGAAGAGATCTTAATAGGAAAGAACTGTTGAGCCTTATGTGTCCTAAACTTGGCTGGCTAAACAGTCTTGATGGAAGCAATTACTGCTGCTTTGAGACTTGTTTGGACTTTACCTTCTGTGCCTGATATATAGGCACCTGTAGCAGGCCTCAAGTTTAATTCCCTAACCAGAGCATTTTCAGAGCTGCTCACCAGTGTTGATTCCAAATAAAATATGGCTTAACAACTAGGGTTTACCAACATTTTTATCTTAAAAGACTTATATTCTGCTCCATTGTAGTTGTTGTTGCATGTTCATTTACTTAACAAGGTTTTTACTAAGGACCTCTTATATGCTCGGCCCTGTGCTTAATGATGTTGGTAAAATGACAATAGTCTTGAATATTCAAAAATATTCCCAATTCTATTTCTTTAAATATATTTTTATAGATTTTAGAGACGGAGGAAGAGAGATGGAGAGATGGAAACATTGGTGAGAGAGAAACATCATCAACATCAGTCGGCTGCTTCCTGCATGCCCCCTCCTGGACATGTGCCTTGACCCAGAATCGAATTGGCAATTTCCTGGTCATGGGTCAAAGCTCAATCACTGAGCCACACTCCAAATCACTGGCCAGGCTCCAAATTCTATTTGAGCTTTTAAAAAAATTCTCACTTGAGGATGTATTTATTGGTTTGAGAGAGAGAGAGAGAAAGGGAGAGAGTGAGAGAAAGCGAGAAAGAGAGAGAGGCAAACATCAGTGTGAGAGAGAAACATCAGTTGGTTGCCTCCTATATGCATCCTGACCGGGGATCAAACCTGCAATCTAGGTTTTTGCCCTGACTAGGAATCGAGCCCTCAAATCAACCTTTTGGTGTGCAGGATGGCATTCCAACCAATTGAGCCATCCGGCCAAGGCTTTTTTTTGTTTAAATCCTCACCTGAGGATGGCAAACATCAATGTGAGAGAGAAACATCAGTTGGTTGCCTCCTATATGCATCCTGACCGGGGATCAAACCTGCAATCTAGGTTTTTGCCCTGACTAGGAATCGAGCCCTCAAATCAACCTTTTGGTGTGCAGGATGGCATTCCAACCAATTGAGCCATCCGGCCAAGGCTTTTTTTTGTTTAAATCCTCACCTGAGGATATGTTTTCTTTAGAGAGAGGAAAGGATGGGGAGGGGAAGAGAGAAACATCGAAGTGAAAGAGAAACATCGATTGGTTACCTCCTGTACGTACCTAACCCAGGATCGAACCTGTGAGCTTTCAGTATACAGGGACAGCGCTCCAACGAACAGCCACACCAGCTATGGTGCAGCCAGAGCTCTTTTAACTTTTTAATAAAGAACTCCCATATCAGGCCATATATCCCAATTTTTCTTTGGGGGAATAAAGGGACACTGCATTTGTTGGGAATTCATGAGAAGAAGAAGACACATAGTCCATGCCGTCAAGGATTTGGCAGTTTTCTTAGAAGCATCATCCCAGCCTTCAGGGTAACAAGATAGCACTGCAAATGTCCCTTTCAGTAGTATAAATCTCCTAAATGCTATTATAGGATTTCAGAGAGGAGATGACAAATCGAAAAGAGGCAGTCAGAAGGGGAGATTTCATGGATAGGGTAGAACTTGACTTAGACATCCATGCACTATGGAGTGGTCTAGACTAGAGAATAAACAGTGAGGGGTCAGGCCTGGTGGGAGCCGGTGTGTTTAGGACATGAGGGAGAGAGAAGGCTAGCAGGGTCAATTCCAACCATGCTGATGAAAGTTCCTGATGTCAGCCTGAAGAGTGTGAATGTTATTCTGTAAGCAATGAAAAGAAAAGGTGAGCATCAGACTGTCGGGGCTCACAGTCCAGTTGCATTAGCCACCACTGTATGACCCTGGGCAAATTACCTGACTTAGATGTGCCTCAGTTTCCTTATCTAAAATTAGGGATGTTGATAATAGCATCCATATTATAGAGCTATAGTGAAGTTTAAGGTAAATGCTATATAAAAGTGTACATGTTACCTAGCATATATATATAGTGTTAATTATAAATTATTTAGAGCCTTAGAGTTAGGGAAGGAGTTTAGAAGGATAAGTAGCCATGGAGAAGATAGATTGGAGAGGGAAGAGACTAAGAATGAGGAGACTATTTTGGTAGTCTAAGCAAGACATGATATAGGCCTGATTAGGGTTGGCCAAGAGAAGATGGTGAATTTTGGATGCCTTGAGGGAAACATGATGGGTCTTAATGGCTGACTGGAGGCAGTGGTTCTCTAGCTAGCTTATTGGGTGTGGGTATTTCAGTGCCTGGGCTCAGACCAAGTCTTGTAAATCTCATGAGAGTGCTTCGAAGAAAGGGAAAGAAGTGTTGATATTCTTGCTGTGATCTTTGAGAAACTGGGGGTTATAGGTATAAGGGGTGCCCTCTGATGTGTTGGCACTAAGGACATTTCAAAGGCTCCCTACCTCCTTCTATCTGAAATTCTTAGTACAACAGTTTTAGGCATTGCTGTTATTAAAAGACCATGATACTAGAAAGGGTAACACTTCTGCTCTCCTGGCAATAGAGCTGAAAATGGGCTTCAATAGGCAGAAGAGAAGATAGATGGCCAGAACTGGAGCCCCATGGGAAATGGGGAACAGGAGGAGAAACAGTTTTAATGTGGGAGTAGGGCTGGGGGGCATGTCACAAGGGGAGAGGAGTACTAAAAGAGGAAGTGGGAGGTGCTCAAGACATACTCAGCCCATTTCACAGCCTTGCCTCAGAAGCTCCCTCTCTGACATCACCACCGGCATACTTGGCATCCCTCCGGTTTTATAGAGCATTTCCCCTATGCTGAATTCAAGCTCCAAATGCTCACCGCTTTCATACAAATGTTAGACAGACTGAAGTCACATGCATCTTTGATCCTGTTAGGACATAATCAGAATCACAGCTGGGAGGAGAGGAAGCATGGGAGTGGAGCCATGTTGTTGGGTAAAATGTAACGATGCTGTTTGAGAGGAAAACAGCTTGGCCTTGAGCACTTTTACAAGCATGAACATTATACTCCTTCCCTTTGGGTAAGAAAGGTTCTGGAAAGCAAACAACTGTCCCCTCCTTCAAGTCCCTCCTATGGGAGTTGTAGCCAGCCCAAAGAGTGGCTCTGACCCCCGAGTCTGCTCCAGAGCTGATCCCACCCTGGAGTTAACTCCACATGAGAAGAGAGCCAAAAGAGGCTGTCCACCTCGTCCAAGGTCCTCCCTGCTCCCCCCACCCCACCACCACTACCACTTCTTCAGTCCCTGGAGTCACCGGAAGCACAGCCTGCTCTTTGGAGTTTGGTGTTGATCCTTCCCTTTTCTTCAGGAAGCCAGGCCTGTGAGTATGAGGGGAAGCTGGACATCAGGCAGATCACATAGAAGAAACCAAATGCTGTTGGAAGACTCAGAGCTTCTTATAAATCTAAAAAGGGGTGAAATGAAAAAGGGGTGGATACGCTGTGTATCAGAGTAGTTCTATGCCCCAGACTGCCTACACCTGTGTGCCAGCAACAGCCTAGAGGCTGGAAATTATTTCTGAAACAGCAGAAGCCTCTGGGCCAGATCCCACAGATCCCACTGAAGCCATACTACAAAGCCCCAGGGCTTCTCTTTGGAATCTGCTTAGAGTTTTCTTTTTATCTCTTTTACATTTTTGTCTTCCAGAGTGGAACACTTAAGGATCCGGACTCGAGCAAGACCCCACCTCAGCGGCCAGCCCCCCAAGGTTGTTTACAGTATATTCTCGACTGTAATGGCATTGCAGTAGGGCCAAAGCAAGTCCAAGCTTCTTAAAGTGATTGGTAGTTAATTTTTCAAAGCGGAAATTTTAAGCCAAAAACAAATAAGGAAAGAAAGGAAAGTGGGGAGGGAAGCAGCTCACCCTCCCATTGGTGCCGTTTCTGCATTCTTTCAATGCTGACTGGACTGTGTTTTTCCTATGCAGTGTCAGCTCCTCTGTCTGGTTGTTTACCTGTCCCTATTCGTGCTTGTAATGCTCACTTATGTTTCTCTGTATAACTTGTGATTCCAGGGCTGTTTGTAAACAGTGTACAAAAGAATCGTGCCTCTCCCAAGTCCAGGGTGACTCTACCTTCTGGGTGGTTTGATATATTTTTTAAAGTATTACATAATGTGGGGTGAAATAGGACTAGGGGATGGACAGGAGAGAAACAAAGACCACAAAAATAAAACCCAACTCCACTCCTTTTCCCCTTCCCCTTTAACACACCCTTCCCCCCTGGTCCAGGCTCAGATTAAACCACCCCCACCCCCTGCTTACCTCCATGAATGTGCTTGGGATCTTCAATGAACTGTGCTTTTTGCTTTCTTTCTGCATGACTAGATAGAAGTTTAAGAGATTTCCAAGGTCTAATTTTCATAGCTTCATCCGTTGAATCTGAAGCCATCCACATTTTTCTCCATTTGCTAAAATTTGGTGCAGTTTGAGTGTATGTGAATATGCTGGCTGTGCCTGTAGAGTTCTTGTGTTTTCAGTGATGACATGAAACATAAAGAAGAAGCTATTCTAGGAATGTGTTTTGTATTTTACATCCCAGTGTACCCTTTGTTTTTATTATTAAATAATTAGCTCTGAGATTAGAAAAAAAAAAA